TGGAAATTGGAGCGGGGCAATGACTCCCTCGCTCCCCACTTTTTCAAAACAAGATTCCGTCCATTTACGCGAGAACTCATTTTGTCCTTCTGTTCCATACAAAAAACAGGAAACTTCAGAGGTAAAAAGGGGCCCCAGTTTCTTACATGGTGGCCCAGGGAGGCGTTGGGGGACTCTGAGGGAGCTGGCAGGAGGCTAGCTTGGCCCCAAAGCTGAGGAGGGGCCACTCCCCTTCTTTTGCTCTCAGAGGAGGTCACCTGGGACCAGGAGAAAGTTGTGCCTCCTCGAGAAACATCTTAAGGAGAGGCCTGGGGCTGGCAGCACTGGAGGCTCTCAATAGCCTCTGTTTCTTACTCTTTATTTACCACCCTACAAAGTCTGAATGAGACATCTCCCCTCAGACCCATTTATTTTCATTTGAAAATAAATCCATTTCCAACTTGACAAGAATAGACTCTAGTTTCTGAAATGCAGTTCTGATTTTATTTTGAGGACCAGTATTTACAAGGGCTTATCTTGTAAACTGGTAAACATCTTAGTGACCATTTTGGCAATAGCTCTCAAAAGTTTAAATACGTGTGCCCTTTGAACTAACAGTTCAACATCTAGGAATTTATCTTACAAAAATACTTCTACATGTGAACAAAGAAATATGTGTTAGGACACTCATTGCAGCTTTCTTCATAATAGTAAAAATTTAAACACAACATCAAGTCTTTCTGAAGGGACTGGATGAGCACATGATCGTATATACTTCCCTGCAATGGAATACTCAGCAATCACTGTTTCAAATTAGGTAGACCAACATGGACTGACCCGGAAAAACATTCATGATATGAGTGCTGAAAACAAGTTGAGAAATCGTATGTATACTTTAATCCACTTTGTTTAAAATAGGGCTTCTCAACCTTGGCATGACTGACATCTGGACCGGATAAGTCTGGGTTGTAGGGCTGCCCCGTGCGCTGTAGGATGCTGAGCAGCACCCCGGCCTCCACCCGCTAGACGCCAGGAGCACCCTCCCCTGCAATTGTGACAACCAACATTTCCAACATTGCCAAAAGTCCCCTGAGAGTGGGAGTAGGGGACAAAATAGTCCCCACTTGAGAACCACTGGTTTAATAATGGTATACAGACAACTTTTAGGTTTGCACACCCTAAGAAAGGTCTGGAAGGATACTAAGCTGTTAACAGTGGTCCCGCTGGGAACCAGGATGGGTCAGGAGAAACAGTGGTCTCTTTTTATTTTATACATCTCTGTTCTGTGTGATTATTTTTACAAGTATATATTTCTTCTGTAAGTAGAAAATCTATGTCTATTGCACTCCCACTCACAGACGTACACATCCACGAAGAAAATAAAGAGAATAGCTCATATCAAGAAACAGTCGGTCAGGATTCTCTTTGGGAAAGAGTGACAGGCGGGCTTACCTGGGAGAGGAAGTCCTTGGAGAGGACTCGATAAGGAGACACGATGGTGTAACCAGAGCTTACCAATCAATCACCTGGAGTCTCACCGAGCCATGTGGCAAGAACCGTGTCCGAGAGACGGTGAACAACGTCGGAAATGTGGAATTCCAGCTCTAGCTCTAAATTTTGGGGGACCAGTGTCTTCCAGCCTCTGCTTCAAAGCTTTCATCTGCTGAAAGGAGCACCTGCCTTTCCACACAGATCTTTGGAGGACAGGGCATGAGAGCAGTATCTACGAAGTGGTCTCCCCCTATCAGATTTGGTACTACATAAATAAAAGATGGAATTCTCATTAATCTTTGCCTTGGTTCTTTTAAAGCTATTTTTTTAAACAAGTGCCTAGCCCAATTTGGGCATTCCAGAGTTCGGAGAATCCCAGAATGCTTGAGTTTCTTGTTAATTTTGTAAGAATTTCCTCCAGGGAGATTTTTTCCAGTTCATTGATATACTCATGAGAAAAACAATAAGCTTTTTTTTTTTTTCCTTTTTTTGTTTTTCTAGGTGATATATTGCTCTGGAAAAATGGTTAAGGTTTGTTCAGAAATTATGAGGTAAACTGCCACAGCCCATTTTCGTGATGCTTCCCTCACCGAGTTATTTGGAATTCATGCTGAATTTCCTAGAATGAAAAATAAACCTAAATCTTATAGAATAAAAAATTTGGTCCCCCACATTGATGCTGGCAAATGACGTATCAGAAATCCAACACCAATATCTTCACCCAGTTACAATTACACAGTACTGAGGGAATTATGGTTTTTGAATGACTTTTTGAAAAGCGGTGGGGAACGATTCTCTTGTCCACCTATGCTGCTGTTTTGAGACCAAAAGTGACTGGACACAGTCTGTGAATCGAGTTATGAATCAGTTCATAACGACACATTTTACATTCTTTTTCATTATGTTTGTTTTGTTTTGTTTCTGGATAGAAGAACAACGCCGAGAAGTCAATTTTGGGCTCATGAGCTACCCATACATATTTTAGTCACAACTTTTGGACCAATTTCTTTTTTCCCCCCTGATTTGACCCAGCTTCTTAAAGGCATTTTGGCTTATTTGCTGATGTTTTACTTCTCTCTAATATTACCTCTGTTTAGCAAAGCCCTAATATTATGCAATCAGTTCCCCAAGAAACTTTCCTTTTTTTTGTTTCGCCCCTAAATCAAAGGGTGAAGCTCAGGACTTGCCATTGTCACGACTCTGTATAAAAATGCTTCAAACAAAGTGAAAGCGCCATTTCTCTTCTCTGCCTTGCACACAGCACGGCAGGCTCAAACGAGGCAGGAACCATGAAGCAGAACATCTTTTCCTAAGAATCCCACATAATTACAGTCAGGTCAGCTGTGCCAGGCCAAAGCAAGGGATGCTGTTAGTGCAAGGCCATGGCACACTCAGGACACGCTAGTGAAACCACGGCTTCCGTGGGCATTGTGTGCAAGAGGAAATTCGTGAAATTAACTGAAAAATGTATGAACTTCATAGAACGCTATTAGACCAAGACCCTGATAGGATGACCCCAAAGTCCCTGTGCATGCTAGTTAGAAATGATTGTAGCAGACATGTTGGTGCTCTGCCTCGGATGTCTCCTCACTGTTCCTATGGGCCCCTTTCCTCCCCCCACCCCCCACCCAGTCTGCATTGTTTTCCTTCCAATGGCCTGCACCTGCCATCTGACTGCTCAAGGGCCACTGGAACCACTCGGCCCACATATGTGGGCAAGTCAGACGTGTTCTCCTTCTCATCCAGGGCAGCCCTTAGCCAATCGTTGACTGCAGTGGGATATGAAAGCCCAGCTGCCATTCTTTAAAGCCAGGACACACTCCGAGTTGTAATCTACACGCCAGATCTCACGGCTGGTTCACACAGAAGCTGGGATTTTGTCTGAAATCATGCCTTTGTTTGGCTTCCTTCCCTTCCCAGGCCAGCTTCCCCACTCCCTTCTCTGCCTCTCCTGGGAGCGTGTCCTACTACATCGCCCCCACACGTTCGCATCTCAGGAGCCGCTGGGTGGAACCCTGCCTAGGCCATTCTCTCTCCTCTTCTGCTCTCCCCCCATTCTGATTCTTCTTATTCTTCTGCACATCTCATTCCATCCTGACAGCTGCAGTCCACAACACCTGTTTCAGGTCTCAAACTTCTGTTAGGACACATGCCATACACAGGGTCTTGGTTATCAGAGACCCTTGATACATGATTTCTGGTCTTGGTGGTGGAGTTCCTCTTTGCCAATGGCACAGTCCTGGGCACTGCACAGCTGGGCTTGACAGTCCTGGTACTGTCATATGTGGCGGTCAGCATGGACTCTTCCTAAGGGCAAAGGATTTGCCCCATCAGACACACGTTTAGACTCAGCAGGTTCTAGTTTCTCTCCTTCTCTGGCAACAGCGTGAATCTAATATCAGAGAAGAGTCTTGTCCTCCCTTTGAGAACATGAATTAGAAACTCCTGCCTGCTTTGGAGTGAGTCACTTCTTTGATTGGTTTCCTCTTATTTCTGCTGTTTGGTTGACCTCAGGTTCCTGAGGGCTACTATTGTTCTGCTTTTGACTTCTGTCTGCAGGAACTGGAGAACTTGGGTGATTCACTGGGACAGCCAGGATATGGCTCAGGCAGGAGCTGGTGGGGGACTTCAGTGGTGACCGCAGAAGCAGAGCTGTCCTAGAGAGTGACGGCTGTGGAGTTCCGTAGTCGGAAGGATTTCTTTCCTCTATGACTCTTCTGTTCTATAACACCTCCTGCAACCCCATCTCATTCTGGGCCTGCTCAAGAACTATCACAGAGCATGGACCTTATCTCACTAATTCAGGATAAGCTCCCTCAGAGAAAGACAAAGTGTGCGTTTTTTCTGCATTTCCATAGAACCTAATACACAGTAGTCCCTCAGTAAATGTTGGTTGGTTTGTCTGTGACTCACCTAACCTGGTCCCATATTTACAGGATGATCATGTAATTTGTGGTCCGATTCAGGACACTTTCAAGCAGGAAAGAGAGTGCTATTGACAATTTTGCTCAGACAAAATGCATAAACTGGGACTGTCCCCGGGAACTGGGACTCACGGTCACCCTACATATTTACCATCCTCAATGCAGGGGGCTCGGACTGTGCAACAACACAGTGGAGTCTATGAATGGTGCCCTGGAGCATAACTCCAAATTCAGATCTTGGGATGGACAGGGAGTTCAGACCCTGAGCCACAGGAGACTTTATGATGGCGACTTTCTCCTGTTGACCCTTTCTCAATGTTTGTGAGCTCTGATTATTGTTTGGGCCAATGAAGACATATCTTTTTGAGAGGTATTTGCAGCAGGTAAGGGCTGGAAATGTCATTGGGCAAACCTGGGTGGTTCCAGACATCCTGATTCAGGCAGCCCAGCCTTCCTGGGATCTACTCAAGGGGAGTGTCCACATTACACACCATCTTGGACAGACCACCCTAGACACCAAGAAACAACACACCCAGCAAGTTCCCAAAGCCCTCTTCATGCCAGCCCCACGTGACACCTTAACTCCCAGCCCAGAGGCGTACTCACGATTTTCACAGTGCTGCCCGGTGTAGCCTGCCAGGCAGGCACACTTGTAAGATCCGGTTCTGTCAAGCAGGCAAGTGCCGTCATGGAAACAAGGGGACGAGGAACATGCTGTAAGAGAAAAGGCAGCTGCTCTCAGGGCCACTGTGTGCTGAGTCGATTTCCTCAAGCCTGGAGTCTTGACCCGAGTCTTTCACTTGTCTTTTAAAGTCTTCCTATGATTTTTTTACTCCTTTTATTGAATTCACGTTACCATTGTTTGACAATGCCTAAAACAGATACTCATTAAATGTCAAATGTTGGTGATTTTATTCAACGTTTTCAAAGGCCCCAGAAGTATTTTCCAGACACCTCTAATCTGAAGAGCCTGAGGCCAACACAAAGAGGCACCCACGTGACTGAAGCAGAAGCACGCTTCCACCCACCCACAGGGACTCCAGGGAGAGAAGCAGCCCCGGGTAGGTTTAGGTCATCTTTTTCAAGGAAGCTCAGCATCCTACATACTGGGGGACAGGAAGTGGTAGATGATCTTCATGCCACTGTTGAAAGTGTACTCAAGAATTTCCAAACACACATTCTGTAAACATTAATCCCTCAAGATGTTGATGTGTTAAACTAAGACAGGGTTCTAGGCTCAGATACATTGGGGAAATGCTGCTGGTGTTAAATGATAATTAGCCAGATTTCTTTACTGCAGACCTTCCTTCCCAGAACTTTCCATTCCCTAATGAGCACTGTGAATATCTAAGACAGCACATAATGTTTCGCCTTCCACAAGCTTACTTGACCTCAGAATCTGCATTAGAGAGCATCTTGGGGACCATCTTTCTACAGAAACACTTTGGGAAGTACTGGTTGGCTTGTTATCCACCAATCCTACCCTCATTTACTGTGGCTTAGAGCTATAGCGCTCAGCCCAGTTCAACAAGCCTGTGCCGAGTGCTTTCTCTGTGTGAGGTACTGGAGAGACACAAAGATGAACAGGAGACCCTACTTACCAGATCAAAGCTTTTTAAAGAAGAGTGTACAGAGACTATAACCTGAAGCATAACACAGTTGGTGTCAGAAAAGAGGAGGAAATGGTATTAGACATTCAAAAAAGGGCAAAGCCACAGCCCATGGAACAGAGACAAGGTTTAGCAGAGGAAGAGAAAACTGAGAGGGCCCTGAAGGAGGGGATCTGAGGTGCAGGTGTGGGGGGTGACTTTAGCCAGAGGGAATAACTTGAGTACAAGGGGAGACATGGGTGTTTGAGGAACGGGAAGTGCTATGTCTGACTATTAGACAACGCAGAACAGACTTTCCCAGAGTTCTCCAGGGGAGGTTGAGGAGCATTTCAGAGGAGGAAGAGACCCCGCTGACCCTCTCCTCAGTCACACGGTCAAAAGCTGGCGAGCTGCCACTGCCCCCAACTGCCTTCCCTAACAGTCAGGCCTTGCTCACTGTGCCACAAACACCCACAGACGTATCTCCAGTGTCACCTGCTCAGCCTCAGCTGGCGGGGTATCATCAAAGGGCAAGGATTTGACCACAGGCCGACCACACCACAGCAGCAAAGCATCTAGAACTCCCAGGCCATGCCCAGGCCCTGCACAGCTCCTAGGGGAGTCCTCGGAAGGAGGCAGGCCCACGGATCATAAGGAGCAACTGCTGAAGCTCATGTGGGAACATTCTGAGGCAGGGGCAGGTTGGGGGGCGGGGTCTGCTGGTCTTGTGAAAGGACAGGGCTGAAGAAAGGCTGATTCCCACACCACCCGCCTTCTCTCCTGAGACTTCCATACTAGACCCTCTATAAGGAAGCATTACAATCTTTTTAATTTAGCATTAAAAAAACCTAGATCTTCAAGCCTGAGCTTATTCTGTAAAACCTGACGCAATCCAATCTCAGAACAGTGAGAGCGGGGGTGACTCCTTAGGATTGAGCGTTTTGTCCATTTTGGTCAAACCCTACATCCTAATATGCAGGGCAGGAGTTAATGTCAGGCTTCGAGTTACTCATAAAGCAAGTGGCATTTACCATTGTAGTTTAAGACTTTTAATACCTATCTTACTGATGACAAAGGGAGGCTCAGGGCACGCCTCGGCAGGGCAGCTATTGAGTGCTTCCTATGTACCAGACACCATGCTGAGCTCTCCATCTGTTCTGTCACCCAGAGCCTCCTGAAGGGAGCAGGGTCTATGGCTATTCCCTCATTCACTGATAAGGAAACTGAGGCTCAGAGAAGTAGAACTGCCCAAGGTCACACGGTTTAATCTGCCAGAGATCTAAAGCTAACACCCTCAACCACGAGAGGCCCCTAGTGTGAGCTCTACAGCCAAAGTGTACAAATTCCTGGTTCCACCCCTATAGCTTTGTGAGCTTGGACAAATTACCCAACCTCTCTGTGCTCTAGCACCTGTACAAGGGAGATAATCCCTAGTTCTGGTTCTGGTGAGCATTTCTGAAATATACTGTGCCATTTCCCCCTTCCTTCTCAACGTGTAGGTTGCTTCTGAGAAGCCAGCATGCTGGGTTTAATAAAGCTGAGCAGGAGAAGGTGGAGTACACAGAAAGGAGATGCTTGTCCGGAGCACAGCCATAAAGTGCTACATTTGTCCCCATGCCCTTTACCTGTGATCTCCTCAAAAATGGCATGGAAGCCATCGAAATTCTTGGAGCCATCTGAATGGAAGAGGACATGGAGGGAGGAGCCCATGCTTCGGATGGGAGCTGGGCGCTCGTTGCCACAGAAACGCTTGATGATCTGGCCATCGCTGTCTTCCCCGTCACGGACCTCAACGTAGTCATACTGGCACATGTAGTCAAACTCCAGACTCAACATGACAAACCTGTGTGGGGAGAGGGTGACAGCAGGAAACAGGTGAGCCCTGGATAGTCCTGAGACCCCTGGGCAAGTTCAAGGCCAGAGGATGAACAGGTCTCGGGAAGAGCGGTGCCATTGGCCTGGTCTACAGGAAAACAGTCCTGCAGGACTTGAGGTCAGATCCATTTCTTTTCATGGAGGGGTGTGTATGTACACCGCATGCACGTGTGTGTGCACGTACATTAACGCCCAGGTGAGGGGCTGCCATATTCCATGCAGAGAATCTTTGCACTTGCTGGCTCCTCTTCCAGGGACACTTTCCCCCCCAGTCTGCATGGCTGGTTCCTTCCTATCCTCAGGCCTCAGCTTAAAATTCTCTCCTCAAAGATGCTTCCCTGACAACTCTTTCTAAAGGAGATCCCTTGTTTTCTTCATGATGTGTATACAAATTTTAATTTCTCATATTATTTCCCTGATTTGTATGTGTATGTGTGCATGTGTGTGTGCATGTCTGTCTCCTCCACTAGATTGCAAATTACTTGAGGGTAGGGCAGAACATCTGTCTTATTCCACCACTGTTTGCATAGTACCTAACATAGCGCCTGGTATAAAGAGACACTAAGCAAATGTTGTTGAATAGAGACTGAATGGATACTATATTGTAACTTTACAATTGGAGAATGAAAAAGCACAGGTTGTCTTACAATACTAAGAAAAGGAAAAACTCTCTGTACACTCTTCTATTTGATGGAAGGCTCAGAAGGTAATTATCTTCTTGGTAACAATAATTCTTGCCCTGCAGAGTAGAAAAAGTAGCACCATATCAGAATTTCAGAACTGAGGGAGATCTGATCAGTCTGTGATTACCTGAAAGGGGTCCTGGGTTTGGAAATATTGGGATACTTCAGACCAAAAAAGCAGACAACGACCCCAAGCTCCCAATTCCACGAGACAGGAAAAGAGACAGCCACATCCCAGAGCAGAGAGAAAGAGACATTTTCCAGAAGATTCCCAAGGGAATGGCTGAGTGTCAAGTTCACAAAATGTACATCTGTATCTCCTCCCTCACGTTTTGGAGAAGCAGAAATAGACAGAAAAGCTAGAACTGCCACGTGCAAAGTTGGGCCTACGGCCGTTTCTGCCACTTGCATAAAAACCTCAATGGCCAGAATCAGAGAACACTGGACATAGTGACAATCAGTACATTTCAAACACTCTTAAAGGTCTTACTAAAAAGGAAACCTAATAACTGAGTACAACCGTTTTCTTTTACAAAAATTTGTATCACAAAGCCTTCTGTAAGCGGGTGGAAGTCCTGCTGATCACCGTTGTGAAACACACTCTAACATCCAAGGACTGACTTATCCAGGAGCCGCCACTGACTCACTGGGCCTGGAGAAGTCAGTTCCTTCTCTGGGCTTTAGTACCTGTGTCTGAAAAGGGAGGAGGGAGACAAGGCCACCACCCAACAGAGATCACAGCTTTTGCTGACACTGAAATATGAGACAGTGCAACTCCTATTTACGTTCATACATTCCTGCATTCGTTCACTTACTCCACACACGGTAGCATCCGGCGGCTCTGTGTCAGGCGCTGTTCTAGGTGCTGAAAGCCTGGAGTGGCCCAGCTAGACACAACGCCTGCCCTCGTGGAGATGAGTTCTGATTTGAGCGACAGACAATAAGCAGGGAAACCAGAAAAAAGGGTAACTTCAGAGAATGTTCAGTGCTGTGAGGAAAATAAACCAAGTCAGCATAAAGAGCTATGGGGAGGATAAGCTTTTACGCAGCGTGGTCAAGGAGGACCTTTCTACAGACATGACATCTGGACAGACGCTTCAATGATAAAACAGAGCCAGCCAAGTGAAGGTCATGGGAAAGAGCGGTCCAGGCAGGGGAATCTGTAAGTGCAAAGGTCCTGAGGCTGTAATGAGCTTGGCATACCTGAGGAACTGAAGGAAGGCCAGGGATGCTGCAAGGTGGTGGACAAAGGGGAGAATGGTATGAACTGACGTCAGCGAGGAGAGCAGGAGGAGGAGTTCAGACTTTATTCCAAGCCTGACAGGAAGGCAATGGGATATTTCAATAACAGAGTAATGATTTGATTTAGGATTTTACAGGATCACTCTAGCCACTCTGAGGGAAGAGATAGCAGAGCTGGCAAGAGTGGAAGCAGGAGCCCAGGAGAGAATCCAGGTGAGAGATGGTGGCAGTGGAGAGAGATGTGGATGGGCCTGAGATTATTTCACAGGTAATAAAATAGATTTTGTGGTCACCTGGCTGTGGTAGGCGATGGCAAGGGGGGCAGCAGGGATGACTGCTCAGCTTTCGGGCTGAACCTACACCTGCTTCACAGTGTTTCGGTTGTTACCATCACCCCTGGGCAGCAGGTCCAGGTTGACTAGAGGCAAAGAAATCTGTTTCTTTCCGAGCCTCCCTAGGGCCCTTTCCCAGGCAGGTGATATGCTTCTCAATCCCTCCACCATTTTGGACTTTTGTTTTGGGAGGATTTCTTCTGCATCGTGGATCTTGGAGAATCTCTTCAGAGGCCCCTGAGGGGACCATTTGGCCTGGTCCCTGAGTTGCTGAAATATTAACACGCAGCATTTAACACCTGCCCTTTCCATCCTTGGCAAATCCAGCCTGGACCCCACTAAGAAGAACAGTGTGGCCCCTCACTTGCTCCCTGAGCTAACCTTCCTCTAGGAAAGCCCAATAAATGAGCTTCACTCCTAACCCCAGGTCCTCAGGGAATGGGGAGACCTGCTACCAATGACCAGTTTTGAAGAGGAGGATTGAGAAGGGGACCTGTTTTGCTGGATCTTTCCAATGGGGGGTACCCTGTTGCCCCTCCTGGAGGACAGAGAGCCATTAGAGGAGCCAGCCAGCACGTGGCAAGCTCTAGATGTACTGACTCATCCAGAAAATACTTATTGAAAGCTTGTGCCCTAGAAGACTAGAGATTTCCATCACCACCAGCCTCCCCTCTGGCTAGAAAAGGGAAGAGCTAAGTGGACAATGTCCCTAGAAATCCCAGGGGTGCATGGGCCACTCAGCTTCCCTGGAGAGGAAAGGGAGAGGTGTCTTCCAGGAAAGAGGAGACACATTGGTGTTGGGGAGCAGTTCTTCCAACATCTATTCATGCAGAAAGTAGCCATCCAGGATCCAGGGTGCACACCGCACTGTTCCAGCACTAGGTGCAGCAACGAACAGTGCTCACAAACCAGGGCTCGCGCATTATGTATCTAGTTACAATAAAACCAGGTCTATATTTTGGACTGTGGCATAAATTAAACATTTGTTAGCATTTGTTAAATTAAACAAAGTCCCTAAGAAGAAACGGCTTGTCTTCCACACAGCAAGAGAACTAGTTTACTTGTTGTGGGGGGGGGGGGGGCGGTTTCCAAGAATGGCAGTGAAAGGAGCTGACGAGCATACACCCCAGTCTAGAGCATAAATTCCTCGAAGGTTAGACCTGTGCCTTTTATTTCCTCACGCCCCTCCCATGGAACCCAGCCCAACACTGCGCGGATAGGAAGACTTGGTAAAGATTTGCGGGTGGTCGACTGCTCTCAGGATTTTGCTTTGCTGGTGCTATCCTTGGGTCAAAACCACCTGAGCCCCACTGCTCTAGGATGGTGAATGACAAGCACTTAATTGGCTGTAGTTCTGACCAGGCCTTATCCCGCGGAATCAGAGGTAAAGAAAAAGGCTCCAATATATCTTTTCGGCTTTTATGAATAAAGTGCTGATGGGTAGCCCTTGGTCACCAGGATCCAGGGCTCTCATTTCCATTACTGTGTTTCCTCGTAACCTCAGATTCCCTAATTCTGACCCCAGCCCCTTACCTTAGCTGGATGATAAACCCAGGTTTGGCGTGAATGGTCCATTCGCAGTGAGCATTCAGGGGGTAGCTCTCCAACAAAATCTGACCCTTCGGGGCTCGCAGAACCTGGCCACATCCTGAGAGGAGAAGAGAAGACTGGGGTGTGGAAACTGGAGTCAACAGGAAAGAGATGGTAGAAGGCCTCAAAGAGCCTTTGAGCTCATCCCACACCCCTGAGAACAGAACGGAGAAGGAAATCAATATTTCTCAAGCACCTGGCAATGTGTGAGGCAATCTGTGTAGGTGAATTCATTTAATCCATCCACCACTTTAGGGAGGGAGGCAGTATCATTCCAGTTTTCCAGCTGGGAAAATGGAAAACCAGAGAGTTGGATAAATAACTTATCTAGCTACCAAGCGACAGAGCAGAGATTCAAACCTCACTATGTCTAAATATAAAGTTGAAGCCACTCCATCATCCTGCCCCCCAAGACTGCCCAGTGCCAGCTTGCTGTCTCCACTTAAAAGGCTCAGAAAGTAGACCCTCCCCACAGCTCTACTCCACGGGACACTGGCCTTCGTCTGGAGTCTAAATCTGCATAAGACCCTTTGGTCTGTGTTCCCTGCACTTTCTCTACCCCACAAATATAATCCCAAAGCAACTCTTTGCTGACCCCTCTCCAGCCAGTTAGGAAATTTACGTGTTAATTAGTTCTATGGGCAATTACGTGATAAATATCTCTCTCATGCATGGCATGGGAAGGGGGACACGATTTCCAACCAGTGGGACTGGATTAGTGGTTTTCAATTTTCTTATAGCTGCCAACTCCTTTTTTCAAATCAACTCTTACGAAGACCACCGATTAAATAAACATGGGTCCAAGAGGGGCTCCTGGTTGAAGCAGAAGCAGGGGCCAAAGTCCTCCACCCTCACCCTCATCTTGGTCCCCTGAATGACCCCCAAGGAGTCCCTAAGAGTTGAAAGCCACTGGACAAGCAGTCGTTAAATTGTATCTTCTAGTGTTAAGATGAGCACAGGTGTGTAAGACGCACCCTGGTTTTACAAAAAAGTTTGGGGGAAATGTCTTGAAGAGGTTTTACAGAAAAAAAATTTTCTGGGTCATGTAAATAAATGATGTTTTCTACCAGAATTGACAAACTACGATCCTGGGCCAAATCTGGCCCACTGCCTGTTTTTCTAAATAAAATTTTATTGCAACAGAGTCATGCCTGTTGTTTTATGCATTGTCTATGGTTGCTTTCGAGCTATAATAGCAAAGTTGAGTAGTTATGACAAGGGACAGTAGGGCCTAGAAAAATGAAAATATTTACTATCTGCCCCTTTACAGAAAAGTTGATCTACCCCTGTTCTATACAGAGATCCAGTTTGACATCAAAAAGTCTGGATATGCAGTTATATTCAACAACCCTCCAAAAAGTATAAAATTCCATTGCTAAAAAGAAAAATATTAATATCAGTGGATAGCACTCCATGGCAAGATAATGGTAGTAATATTTCTACAGTGTTACGAAAAGAGCCCAAACGCTAGTTTGGCAAGCTGTGAGGTCCACGGCTTGTTACTAATGCTAGATTGCACAATTTATCTCTTTACTAGCAGTTTTACTGATGCTGCCCTGCTCCACCAATGGGAAGCATCATGCACCATTTTCCATTTGGGACTCTTGTCTAGGCCCAGCCTCCATCATCTCTCTGCAATCCCAGCCTCCTCCCTGGCCTCCCTGCATCCACCCTTGTCCCCCAACATTTGATTCTCCACACAGCAGCCAAACCCACCTTTTAAATAAATAAACACATTACTCTCTTGATTCAAATCCTCCAAAGACCGTCCACTATGCAAACACCTTCCTACAACATGCAGGCCCTCCCTCACTGGCTGTCCAGACCTGCCCTTGCCCAGTCTCCAGTACCACTCATCTGCTTGCTCACGCTGCCCCAGCCACACCGACCTTCCTGTTCCCAGCTCCAGGCCCCATACTTGCTGTCCCCTCACCTAGAAGGCTCGCCTTCCTCCACATCTCCTTCCTTTAGGAAGGAAGCTCAATGGTCACTTCTTCAAAGAGGCCTTCCTTGACCACTCAGCTAACATCGGCCTTCATGCTTCTACAGTCACTGTCATTATGCTATTTTATTTCCTTCCTAACACATATCACCACATGAAGTTATCTAGCTTGTGTGCTGACTCCCTTTGGTGGGGCTGGGACCTTCTCCAGCTTGTACACCTAGAATGGTACCTGGCATATAACAGGCACTCAATAAATAGTTGTTGAGTGAGTGAATGAACAAGTGAATGATGTCATTATTATAGGCCAGGCACTGGCTAAAAGCTTTACAAACATTCTCTCACTTAACCCTCATAAGACACCTAGGAGAACAACACTCATCCCCCCATTTCCTGAATGCGGAACACTAAGGATGGGAGAAGTTAGGTGACTTCCCCAAGGCCAGACGGCCAGGAAGTCAGCGGACTGTCAACCACTCTTTTAACTGCAAAGCAGTGGTTAAGAATGGAGACTTCAGACTCTGACCGCCCTAGTTTGAGATTCAGCTTTATCTTCACTGGCTTTGTGGCCTTGGGCAAGTTACTTCATCCCTCAGTAAACCTGAGTCAAATGGGAAAAAAAACTGGCACCTACTTCACGTGGTTTTGGGAGGCTTAAATCAGATTATGCACGGAAAGCCCTAAGAGAAAAATCAATGAGTGTTAGCTGTTCTAGACGGTGGCAGGGCAGGGACTTGAACTTGCATCCGTCTAGTATCAACGCTGGGTCCCAGCTGGTGCATTAAACTGTCTTGGGGGCTTCCTGACCCAGCCCTCTCCCACTCCATTTTGAGGCAATAGGATTTTTCTGCCCCCAAAGAGATACAGTGAATTTCTGCCCCCACCCGGACTTCCTGAAGTGCACGTTCCTTCTGCTGCACATCTCACACTCCTTGTTGCCCCCACCTGCCCATCTGCTGCAGGGCTACAGAAGTGATCCGCTGGGTGTGAGAGACAAAAAAAGAAATATTCCTGCACAGCCTCCGCCCCACGGGAACTGGCAGCTTCCCAGCCCACAGGGTGTTAAGTCCCAGCTCCCACAGCACACCTCCCGCAGGGACCCCGAGTTAGAAGCAGCAGCAAAGGCTGCCGGCCTGCTTCCCGTTTCTCCCCTGCATGCTGGAATCAGACAGCAGCCTCACGGGGCCCCTCGCGTCCAGGAGAGCCAGCGCCCATCCCCAGCCAGGTCTCCTCGGCAAGACCAGTCGGCCTTGGCCAGCCCAGGATCTCATGCAGCCTCTGGAGGGCTTGGAGCCCCCAGCCCCACTGGGCGCTGGCCCCTGGCCACGTGGGATGCTAGACCACTTGCTCCTGCAGGCCCACGGGCCATCCTTCAGAAGTGGCCAGGATTCCAGAACACACACGACGTCTCGGGTCTTGATGATGTTGTCCTCCTCGCTCTGGAGGGGAGGGCAGAGTCGGCCCCGAGACGGGCGACAAGGTCCAACCAGCCAGAGACAAAGAGGCCGCTTCTCAGAAATGTGCTTGAGGAGGGCACTAGGCAAAGGGAAGGGAGGAAGGAGCCCCGCTCCCGCCTCACACCAAGGGACTCCTTCAGCTCCCTCTGTGCTCCCGCCTCTGCTGGGGGTGTCGGTGGGCCTGCGGGCAGGGCGGACTAACTGCACCTCTCTGTCTAGGGAAGAACAGTGGACACAGCTGAGTGTCCCCGCCAAGGAAGTACTGCTGGCCAGCAAGCAGGCGGTCCCGAGTCTGAGAGACCAGAGCCAGCAACGGGCCCGGGAGACGTGCTCGGATTCCCTGACAACGTCTTGCTGCAGGGGAAGAGGGTGTGTGTGTTGGGGGGGTGGATGTGCCAGTGAAGCCAGACTGTGCCCTGGGCTCTCAAATCCTGGACTCATCTCCAAGCCCCCCACCCTTCTCCATTGCTACAAGCCAAAACAGGAGAGACAGTTGGATAGACCCTTCTTCTACGGAACTGAAAGGATATCTTCATTCATTTCTACACTGGTAAGAGAGCTGGAAAGTTCCCAACAAAAATGAACACCCCCCGCATTCAGACAAAAGTCTTGTTATCTCCAGCGTGGGGGATGGGGAGGGAGGGGCAGGAGAGACACAACATATTGCTGAGAAGTGAGTGGGTTTTTTTCTTCTTTAATCTTTCCTCTTAGGAAAAAAAAAGGACTAAAGACAGCATTCAGGCAGAGAGAGGCATTTGCATTTTCTCTCCTCTTTCAAAGATGACTCAGGAGGCAGGACTCACAGTGGTTCAGCAGCAGCCTCTGAAGCCAGACCAGCTCCGAATCTCAGCTCAGCCTTCTCGGGCTGTGTGACCCCAGACAAGTGCTCTGGAAGTCTGAGCCGAGGCCTCCTCATTTGGAGATGAGAATAATAGTAGTCCCTACTGCTGTGGTGGTGGGGCACAGCACCTGGCACATACAAATGCTCAACAAATGTCAAGGAATGTTGTTTCTCTTGAGTTGTGTCTGGATCTGAGACACTATTTTGGCACAAGAATCACGACGGACAGCCCAGGTTCCGACCTGCTGAGCGCTCCAGGGCTCCTAAGAGCCTCACTATGTCATTGGCCAGAGCCCTAGGCCTGTGAGGCCCAGGAGCCCAGACAACGATGGCAGGGTGAAGGCCTGGATGACGGCACGGGAATGACCCACGTACCAGGCCAGGAGCTGGAAGGAAGCTCACACTTGCCCCGTGATTCCGTTCCTCCTCCCATGACCTGCTAGGCCCTCCGACAGGCACAGACCCTCAGACAGGCACAGGAGCGAGGGCCTCAGGTGCCTCTCACATCGAGAGATGGTTTAGTAGACAGGATGAGAGACTGGGCTCTGCGACCGGGCTTCTGAATGAGCATCTTGGCTCTGCCACTTACAAGCTGCATGACAGCAGGAAAGTAACTTAACCTCTCTGTGCCTTAGGGTCGTCACCTGTAAAATGGCTGTGATGAGGATCAATGAGTTAGTACATGATGCCTGGTTCATAATAAGTGCTAAGACATGGCTTTTATCCAGGGCGCAGGTCTTCATCAGGAACAATTAGACATCCAGAAGCAACTCCATGCTCACCCTGTGATCTACTCTATAATCTCAATCAATTTGATA